GTAAAAAAGAGGGGTGATATCATGGTAAGGGTCAACTGTAGATCAACAAATTAGGAAGAGGAGGTGGATGAGGCATTTCTAGAATAACAGAAATATCCAAAACACAAGACCTGGTAATAATGGCTACCCAGACATCTGCTGGAAAAATAATACAGCAAAACACAAAATGTTCAATGAGTTCTTGAAATATATTGGGGACAGCTTTTTGTTCCAGAAAGTGGGAGGAAATTAGGAGGGGGACAGCCATTTTAGACATGGTTATGACCAATAAGGAGAAATTAATAACGAATCTGAAGGTGGAAGGCAATTTGGCTGAAAGTGATCATGAAATGATAGATTTCATGATTCTAAGGAAAGGAAGGAGTGAGAGCAGAAGAATAAGGACAGTGGAGTTCAAAAAAGCAGACTTCAACAACTCAAAGAAATGGTCGGTAAGGTCCTGTGGGAAGAAAATCTAAGGTGTAAAAGGAGCTCAGGGGAGTTGGCAGTTTCTGAAGGAGACAATATTAAAGGCACAACTGCAAACTATCCTGATGCAAAGGAAGGACTGGAAGAATAGTAAGAGGCTAATATGGCTCCAGCAGGAGCTCTTTAATGACCTTGAAAATAAAAAATAAAAACCCTACAAAATGTGGAAACCTGGTCAAATTGCTAAGGAGGAGTACAAAAAAATAGCACAAACATGTAGGGACAAAATCAGAAAGGCTGAGTCGCAAAATGAGTTACATATATCAAGGGCCATAAAAGGCAATAAGAAGACGTTCTTTAAATACATTAAGAGCAAGACAAAAACGAAGAAAAGTGTAGGTCCTCTACTTAGCAGAGAAGATGAGCTAATAACTGATGACATCAAGAAAGCTGAGGTGTTTAATATCTATTTTGCTTCAGACTGTACTAAAAGGGTTAACGGTGTCCAGATACTCAACACAATTAATATTAATAGCAAGAAGGAACATAACCTAAAATAGGGAAAAAACAGGTTAAACAGTATCTAGGTAAGCTTGATGTATTCAAATCAGGAGGGCCTGATGGAATTCATCCTCGGGTTTGTAAGGAAATAGCTGAAGGAATCTTGGCACCCTTAGCAATTATCTTTGAGAACTCATGGAGGATGGGTAAAGGTCCAGAAGACTGGAGAAGGGGAACGAAGAGGACCCGGGGAATAATAGATCAGTCAGCCTAACTTCCATACCTGGAAAGATACTGGAACAAATTATTGGACAATCAGTTTGTAAGCACCTGGAGGATAATAGAGTTATAAGGAATAGCCTGCATGGATTTGTCAGGAACAAATTATGCGAAACCAACTCAAGGGTTACCAGTCTAGTGGGTAGGGTGAAGCAGTAGATGTGATATATCTTGATTTGTAGTAAGGCTTTTGACACAGTTCCACGTGACATTCTCATAAGCAAACTAGGGAAATATGATCTAGATAAATTCATTATAAAGTTGGTGCACAACTGCTTGAAAGTCCATTCTCAGAGAATAGTTATCAGTGGTTTTCTGTCAAAGTGGGAGGACAAATCGGGTGAGGTTCTGCACGGTCTTTCCTGAGTCTGGCACTATTCAATATTTAAATTAATGATTTGGATGATGGAGTAGAGAGTATGCTTATAATATTTGCATATGACACCAAACTGTGAAATGTTGCAAGCACTTTGGAGGACAGGATTAGAATTCAAAATGATCTTCATAAATTGGAAAATTTGTCTGAAATCAACAAGATGAAATTCAATACAGACATGCAAAGTACCACACTTAGGAAAAAAATCAAATACACAATTACAAAATGAGGAATGACTAGCTAGTTGATAGTACTGGTGAAAAGGATCTCGTGGTTAGAGTGAACCACAAAGTGCATATGAGTCAACAATGTGATACAGTTGTGAAAAAAGCTAATCTAATTCTGGGGGGTGTAGTAACAGAAGTGTCGCATGTAAGACATGGAAGGTAATTGTCCTCTACTCGGCACTGGTGAGGCCTCTGCTGGAGTACTGGAAAACTGTTTTGGATACCACACTTTAAGAAAGATGTGCTCTCTAGAGGAGAGCAACAAAAATTATAAAAAGTTTAGAAAGCCTGACCTATGAGGAAAGATTGAAAGAATTTGGCATGTTTAATCTAGAGAAAAGAAAGCTGAAGGGGGGACATGATAGTCTTCAAATATGTAAAAGGTTGCCATAAAGAGGATGGTGATCAACTGTTCTCCAGGTCCACCGAGGATAGGACAAGAAGTAATTGGCTTAGTTTGCAACGTGGGAGATTTAGGTTATATATTAGGAAAAACTTTCTAACTATAAGAGTAATTAAGCACTGGAGCATATTACCTAGGGAGGTTGTGGAATCCCCATCACTGGATGATTTTAAGAACAGTTTAGACAAACAGTTCATTAGGGGGCTTATTCCTTCACCCTCTCACTTCCCTGGTCCTTCTCGCATGAACAGAGAGCAACAATACCCGAAGTCCAAAGGCGCAAACAATTCGATGTTTATTGGGGTGAACTTCCAGCAAGCGTGATCCCAGTTTCCTTCCTCAGTGTTCCCCTTCCCAGCTCTGACACCACAGAGCCTTGCCTGTCTCCCTGTTTCCATTCCCTGTTCCCATTTCCCCCCTCACCTTAGCAAAACATGATTCCAGTTCCCCCACCCCCAATCCCTGTTCCCATTCCCCCTTTACTTCCTGATTGACTGAAGACTATATAGTAAAATTTGAGTTCTGCTTAGCTATCCCTTAACCAATCTTTTTACTGAAATTTAACTAACCAATCCTAACATACTGTAACATGGTTATTTAACCAATTATATTCCACCACCTTAATTAGTTTACACCCAGCAAAATTTATTATACAGCAGACAGAAACAATTACAGAACCAGACAGAAACCATGCAAATAAACACACAAAACAATACAGAAGTGAGGATTTCACAACTACATCTATACAGACATAAGGGTTTTCCAGCTGTGTCTATTGATAAGTAAGTTCTTACCAGACAAAAAACTATCAAACTAAATTTCCTTTTACATGTTCTAGGCTCTTTCCTTTCTCTGGAGGTGATAGGAATATCAGGACAGGATTGTATTCCTAACAGCCCAATAGCGCCTGATTTTAATGTGACTGGTTTGGAATGTGAGGATGTGACCGTTCACGTCTCAGTTTATGGCTGCCTTTGCTCCTTAGCCAAAGGCCTTACTTAGCCTAAGAACCAGGCCTCAGACTGTCCCAGTACAAGAAGGCCCTTACACAAACAGACAGTAATTTTAATTCTTTCTTTTATACCTCTGTAACTAGCTAAGTTATAAGAATACACGTAAATTCTTGAAGTATAGGCCTTTACAGACAGGCCTGAATATCTATATCCTAACACACTTGTCAGAGATGGTCTAGTCTGCCTCAGCATGGGGGGAGGAGGGGGACTAGAGGACCTCTTGAGGTCCCTTCCAGCCCTGCATTTCTATGATTCTGTCCTCTATGGCAAATCTTGTTTCTATCACAAAGACAGACTTAAAGGCAAGGGAAATGAGAGGCTATGAAATCAACAACTCCTTCAGAGCAGATTTATCTGCTGCCTAGAAATCAGCAAACTCAGGAATGATTTTATGAATAAGTAGCACCAACCTCAAATTAAATCCAGGGTTTCCTCATGGGACTTTCAAGTCAGGCTCCCACTGGAGGTGCGCTGTTCAAAGGGATAAATATATGGTATGCCCCATCGTGTATAACATGAAGGCTTGATTTGTGATCAGAGCGAACTGTCCTGAACTTCCATTGGCTTCACCATTCCGTGTCGTTCCGACTCAGGCTAGGAACAAAACTATCACCGCCAATGAACAAGGTTTTATGTGTAAAGGGGATTGTGTGTTTGTTCTCTGCAGACAGCAATAAATTGCTTATCTCCTAGTGCTGCTCTGGTGTGTAAGTTCAGACTGAGAGTAATGAGCTCCAAACCACCCACTGCTTTCCCCTGTGGTTTCCAGCAAATGGGCTCATGAAGAAATTGGGTTTTCCCCCCTCTAATATTAAATTTTTAATGACCAAAAACATGCAAAATAGAACCCAGCTTGACCTTTCTGTTCCGTTCCGCTCAGCACACCTTTGACTACCTCCTGGCCGTTCCACTTGCAATCACAGACGCTGAGACAGCATTTTGTTTTGTACCACTATGCTATAGATATAGTATATCTCTTTAATTATTTGTGCTCCCCCTGGACTCCTCACATTCCTACATGTCATTCCCAGCTGTGACCTGGTGCCATATTGTCCATTTGTCAGCAGTACAACTAGAATAGTAATGAATGTGCTCTTCATCACTTCAGTTGTACTGTACATAGACCCTTACAGGAGAAGATGCTTTAATGATAAGTTTAAACTTAAACCTTTGTCAGCATTTCTTTCCTTGGATCTGTGTAATACATTAGGGGCTAGATTGTGCCAGGGGAGTGACTATGTTTTCAGCTTTCCAGTAGGGAAAAAGAAAAAAGCATGTATAGCCTTTTTCCTTCACTTTCTTTGTTCTGTATTGAAATTTATAACTGTCACTGCTTCGCCTTTCTAGAAGTCCTTGTTTGGTACTGGTTTAGCGCTGCAAAGAGCAGTCTCAGACCAGTGTATCTTTCACTGCTTGGTTATGGAGAATAGAATTCTGGATCTTCTGGTTTAGAACATGTGTGTCTGCCACTCAAGTTCTTGTGAAGGAAAGATTTGAGTCGTATTAAGGCTTACGTTCTCTTTTAGCCCTGCTGTTGGAAGTTAGTGTAATTGTAAACCCAGGAGCATTCAATAGAAGGCACCATACTCACTAACCAGTATACTGGGGCTTTGGTACATTGCTTCCGTACTTAGTAGGTGTTTTGAAATATGAAGGCACATGCTTGTGGCTGTCATCTAAGGGAGAATGCAGTGTATGTGTTTGTGTGTATGTATGTAAAGTATTTTGCTTGGCAGATTTGTAGCTTTAGGTAGAGGACAAGGAATTAATTTGTATGTTCTCTCTTTTCCCAGGCCCCCTCCATTCTCAGTTCCTTACCTGGAGTGATGGAAAACTCCTCTGTGGCATCTGCCTCCTCTGAGGCAGGGAGTAGCCGATCTCAGGAAATCGAAGAGCTGGAGAGGTTCATTGACAGCTACGTCCTTGAGTACCAAGTCCAAGGTTTGCTGACCGACAAAACGGAAGGGGACGGGGAGAGTGAGAAAACGCAGTCCAACATCTCGCAGGTTAGTGCAACTGGACATGAGGAGTTAAACCAAGATGCGGGGTCACCGTGAAATGGTGCCCTGCTATCTAGGAGATGGGCTGTCAGGTTTGGATACATATTATGTGCATGTAGCTAAGCGGGCATCTACCGATCTTGGCAGTGAAGGGTGGGGGGGATAGTACAGTGGCAGATTCTTGCTCCTTGAGATGTCTAGTAAAGATCTTTTGTCAATTACATTCTTCAGCAGATGTTCCCCAAATAGCCCTAATGTTTTAGCTTCCCTAGAAACACCTCTGAGTTTCAATTTGAAGAGAAATTTTGTCTTCTCATAAATATCGGGTTACCAAAGGG